AAGAAAAGAAAAAAGAAAAAATAGAAAATTAAAGCCCAACATACCCATATTCCCACTGCCAGGACTATCACAAAATAGAGGACAATAACAGAGATGTCCGCAGCATTGTTGATCCTTATGGTGGTGGAATCCATCCTGGATGTTTCTCTGGCTTTCTTCTTCTTTCCCTCCTTATATGCTTCTTGCAGTGTTCAGGTTAATGATAAACTGCTGTCATCAAGATTCACTTGTCTTGGGACACAAGTTGAAGCTGCTGCTTTTCCTCTGACACCACTTCCTTCCTAAATATTGCTCCCCTGCTACAGGTGCTGCAGATCTCAGAGTTCCCTCCCCTTGCCAAAGGTGCTCAGGGTTTTAACATCGGCGAGCAGATGTCTAAGAAGGAATGAGTACTGAAAGGAGTGGCTTGGCTGCAATAAACCTGCATATTTACCTCGCTGTGAATACTTTTTTTTTTTTTTTTTTGAAGTGGTTGTACCTGTAAATCTAGTCATGGAAGATGCAGTTCTTTCAGATGATGATGGTAAACAATCACCTGTGAGGAGGAGTGACCTGACACTTGGGGAAAACCCGGGGTCCAGAAGCTGGGACACTCTCTGCGTCATCTCTCAGCTCAGCAGGATTACACAGTGGAGAAGCAGTCCCACACTTCTGGGAAGGAAACGATTTGAAGCTGCTTTTCTCTCTCACAGGTAAAGATGGATAAAGGTGAAGATGCATGCACAGGATTTAGATCCAGGAGCTTCATGTGTTGAATTTCAGAGTGTTCCGATTGGGGTTTTGTGCTCTCTCAATTGTGGCTAATCAGCTTCACATTCAAATAAGTTCAAAGTTCATCAGTGCTTGGGTCTGCTCTCTCATTTATTTGTTCCTCTGTCTTCAAAATAAAGCTAAGCAAAATAACTGGTTACAAGATATGGGACACACTGATTATAGACAGCTCTTCACAGCCCATAATAGGGTATTTTCCCCAAACAGCACCTGTGATCCTTCAGGTGAGCCAGAAGAGATTGGAAAAATCCGGGGTATTTAGATGCAGAGCCAGCCACAAGTGCCAGGCATGTTTCTGGGCTCAGGATATTTGAAATCCTATTCTCTGATTGATACTGGGGAATCCGTATGCATTCACAGCTGACTGGGGTGCCTTTTGGAAATACAGTTGTACCTGAAGTCACACTGAGCAGAACAAGCAGTGCATTACATAGAAAACACAGTAGGTTGGGTTGCTTGCAATAGTTATTTCCTCAGGAGTTGAAATGGATGTCTAGCATGCTGTTGGCAATGAATTTTTCTCAGGCAAATTATCCTTCTGTAATTGTGGATAATAAAGAGCATCAAAGTCTAACAAGCTGCAAGTATAATGTCCTTTAAGAATATATTTTAAATATCGCTATTGTTTGGGAACTTATAAAACAATTCTGTCCTCTGATAGCTTAGGCATCTCTCCCAAAACACATTCTTCAGTTTGTCCTACAGGTCTGTGAAATGTTAGCTGTAAAACCAACAGAGAAAAAAATTAACCCTGGAAGTTGCTGAGCATCCAAAACTCCCATTAGCTGCAACTACCCTGCTGTGAATTTCAGAGGGAAAAAAAAAAAAAAAAAGACTTATTTACTGACCTTAATTATCAGGAAACAGTTTGCCTAAGATAGGCTGTAGATGACTCTTCTTTACAAATACTGACGTAGGTTCCTATGGGACCTCACAACCAATAAGTTTGGTTTTCAGGAATTTCATTTCTGCCTCAATTTACAGAGGTAAAGCAAATAAAATATTAGACAGGAGCTTATATTTGTAACACAGCTCATATTCTCATCCAAATTTCTGGCGAAAAAAAATTTGGAGAAGGTAAGAAATATTACAGCCTCTTGTCCATAGACCTTGGTGTAGCCATATCAACAAGACTCCAAAGTTTAAAACAGTAATAGAGATTCAGTATATGAATAAAAAAATAATAATCACATAATTCCCATCTTCACATACAGTGGAACCATTGACTTATGTTTTCTTTCCGAAGACCAGAAACATAAACAAAACATTCTCTACAAGAATGCTAAAAAGAGATGGCAGCTTTGTCAAGGCTCTTAATATCTCTACACCCTCATATCTGAAGTCCAAAGAGAATCTCAGAAGTGTTGTACTCAGCAGATTACTGGTGTACTAAATGAATCACATCAGGAACCGAAGGCATATAAATGGTCTCTGAAAGGTCAGCCGATTTTCCAGATTTGAAAAAGGCTGTGCCTGGCCTTGTATTAAAGCTTTGGAAGATAAGCACAAGTAAATCTCCTGATGTGAAGCATGACCTTTGCATCAGAATGCAATAATTTCTTTTTCTCACACCCATGCTTCAGCGGGTGCTCTCATCACTCTGAAATATCTGGACACACATAGAGCTCCAATACTGAACAAAATGCCAAATAATTTGATACACTGTAGAAATGTCTCTCCACTCTCCTGTGAGCCAGGACGAGTTGTTGAAGTAAGTGAGCTCTGAACTGGAGTGAGAACAATGAGTCTAAGTAGCACAACACAGGAATACAAGTGTGTGATCTAAGTCAACAATTGCTCCCCGCTGGATCAAGTCTGACAACATTTAGCATATCATGAATATCTCCATTCATACCTGAATAGACAAAATAGACAATGGATGAAAGCACAAAAAGCTACAGAATGGTATAATAAATTGTTCAAAATCACACACCAGATTACCGATGGAGCCTGCACAGAATTAATCTACAGATTTACAGACTCAAGTATTAACTGCAAGAGCTGACAGAGACATCACTGTGTTTGGGGGCAGAGGGCAGATACACGACCTCTGCAGAACCTGCAACTGCTCTGCTGTCATCATAAAATGGGGCTGCAGCATGTAAAATTTGAGAATTATGGCACTTGCTGCTACCTATCCTAATCTTTTTAAAACTTGTGTGGAATTCCTTTCTTTCTTGCTGTTTAAATTAATATTTATGAACTGTAGCATTTCTGAAAAATGGCAGAAATCTTATGTAAATGTCACTTCCTCTGAAAACTTACTATATCTGCCATAACTAATATAGTTTCTATATAGCACCATGCTAGCAACAAATGTTGTGACTGTGGGTTTCCTGGGATAGACCATACCACAAAGGCTTGGATTAGCTGCCAACTTCTGATCGCGATGTCAGAATTCCACCTCCCATGTAACTCTTCCTCCTGATGATGGCAAATGATAAAACAAGAAGTTAAGTGAACAAACCACAACCAAAGAGAGCAATGCATTAGTATGCAAACTACCTCCCACTGAGGAACTCTCTCTGACATCCCCCGAAGTCCCTTATAAAACACACAGATTTCTTTACAAATGTTTATAAACAAGATAACCTGTGCAACTGATAAAGGACATGAACAGTTACTGCTTTAACAAAGTCTCTCCTCCTTTGCCTGTTTCCCAGCCACATCCTGAAAACATCATGGGAAAAGTGATCACATTCACAGGTGGACAAGATGGTAATTCAAAAGGTTTCAGAAGAGTATTCCTGAGATGGTCCTAATAATGAAGTGTGGCAGAGTAGAAGACAGGAGGAATATTTAGTACGTATTTTTCATGCAAAAGACCTTTTACTCTTCTCTCAGTGAGTAAGGCTTGGGTCTAACTCATTAGAAGAGTTAATCACGGAAACTAAAAGGCAGAATCCATAAAAGAGGCATTACTAAAAGGATATGTAATATCGAACTCCAGTCATCAAGTGTAGCTAAGAAGGAAAAATAGTAAAATAGCTCCCTTCCTAAAAGGACAGCAGCAAGAGAGCAAAGTCATTCTAATCCAATTCACATGAAAAAAAAATATGTATTTTTCAACAGATGAAACAAACAAGCAAACAAAAAACACCAGTATTTCTAGATTAAATTTCTCATTAGCATTTCTACTAAGGAGAAATATCAGAGGATATAAAAGTAAGTTGATAAGCAGATAGCAAAGAGAATTGAAGAGAGTAAATATACTCAGTACTTCAGCAAGTGATTAAGTTGTCTCTGTAATATCATTAAATATGCCCAGTGGTATCTAAGCATTGCCAATGTTATCAAAGAACAGTCCAAGGACTGTACTCCTCCAAATGATAAAAGTAAGGTAACAATTTTATTTTGGTTTGAGTCACGTTTTATTCATTCTTATAAATTCAGGAGAGTAACGAGCAATGCTTCAGTTGCAAGAGATGTATTTCAAATCTCCATTCCAACTATTAAGTCAGAGTAAAATCTGTAGCAGATTAAAAAATCCTCCCCTAAACTAATTCAGACTGTCACCAGATTTAGCTGTCTGACAGCTGGCAGATTGTTTCCCACAAGCAACTTTTAATTGAGTAGCACTCTCATTAAAACTGAAATACTATGTGACACAACACACCTATTATTTTCCTGATACAAAATACTGTATTTGGAATGTGTTTCCTTCTTGGGAGCTTCTTATCTGTCCCTAAAACGTTATCACTTGTTAATTTTGAGAGAGACATACTGACCTGCCTCCTGTAGCTAAAACAATTAAATAGTAGAAGAAATTATCTAGGATATCTGCACAAACCATGACCACAACTCACTCATGCTTTAGGAAAAATAATACCTTCATTCCACAAAATACAGGAAAGAAACAAGCAAGAGATGAGCTGCTGAGGCCCATTCCATTGAAATCATTCTCTAGTTGCTCAAGTGACCTAAGAAAAACCCCAGTCACTCATACTTCATTTTACTTGAAATAATCACTCTTGAACAATGGATAGCTTCAGGCCTTGTGGATATGTTTTGTTTACACTTGAGCACTAAAGAAAAATAATAATGTATTTGTTGCTGTGTTTAACAGATTAATTTGATAAAAGAAATTCAAGCAGGGAAAGAAAAAGATCATAATCTACCAGTATAATAGCCCAGGATGTACATACAACTTGCTCTACAGGGTCCCTGGTCCTCTTGTTGCACAATTTTTCACCAGGAAAAAAACCCAAATAACTGTTATATTTCCACTGTACAAAATATAAGATGAAGCTTACAGAAAACTGGTAAAAGCAGAAATTGTGGTTGGAGAGAACTCAAAGGAAGCATTATTTTAGGAAATAATGAAAGATTCAGCATTTCAACAAACATCTAAACAAACCTATTGACTGTTCCAACAGCAGAAAATTATCTGAAGCAGGGAACAGTAAGAAGTGGGAATCCCTGGTCAGGATAAAAGCTGAAGAATTGCCTGAAAACTGTTCTCTGTTATGAAAGAAAAAAGAAAAAGCATCATACAAAACACAAAGTACAGTTGAAAAAATGAGAAATGGAAATAATGAACATGCAGAGTATAAAAAAATGCAGCAATAGACTCTCAGACCAACAAGATACTGGTAAATGGCTAGATGCATCTGTGCAAATATCTCTGGTCACTGAGATCCAGCAGAATTGAGATAAGAAGAGGACAGCTTTTCTCCATTTCTAAGTTCTGAGGAAAGTAGAGTTTACAATGTTAATTAAACTACAATGCAAAATGACACAAGAGGCTTATGAGTAAGCAAGTTAAATAGCTCAAAGTAATCAACCCATACTCAAGCTTATGATTTGGATTATTGTCTCATAATCTATATTTTTACTAGCATTTTCTTTTTATTCCAATCATAATTTTAACAACTCCACATCTCTGACTAAAGGTACTTCTGGAGCTTTACAGGTAGTCTGGTGAGCAATCAAATTCAAGTAGCTACATAAAATCTGCTCAAAATATTTCACAAAGCCTTCTGTTACTATGCTAAATGTCAGCAACAGCAGAAGTTTGTGACTGCTTCTGACAGCGTGCTTCTCACTCCCCAAACTTCTTTCCCCAACTTCCTCCTTCTGCCTGGCCTGGCACAGGAAGACAACCAGCAGTGATACTGAAAACACCCTCCTAAAGCAGATTAACAACCACAAACCTGACTCAGACTGAGGGGCTGAAAGAACTGATAGCAAACACCCGGTTCAACAGTTGTGGGCCAATTAGGCATGCAGCTGAAAACAAAATATGACTGTGGGTCAGTCATCTTACCCCATAAATAGTGAGCTGCCCAAGAGCCCCACGAATTCTCCTGCATGGCAGTGGGCTGCAGAACAGGATCTTCCCTTAGTAGGGACACCTCTCAAGGTTACACCTGCACAGAGATCTTGATGCTAAGACACCTTCAAAATACAGACCTTTGGTAAACAACTAATAGCTTCTTTTAAGCTTTAACTTCACTAAGATGAGAGCTTAGATTGACTGTACACATATGATCCCTTGGACATAAACTACTGACCAGCTCTGAGACTAAGAGTGGATCCACTCTTACCCGTAGCTCAAGGAGTTTAGAAAGCAAAGGGGTTCTGCTCTGAGCCTCTGACTTAACAGAAAGGTCTCCTGTGTTTGTGTGTTTAAACCCTCTTATGTAGTAAATAATCAAGTGTATCCAGCCAGCTTAAATCTTGTTAATTTTCTGTTAAATCACAACATTATAGCTGTGTTATAGCAATGAATATATTCCTGCCTCTCTCTTTTCAGTGAGGTACATAGTGTAGTTGTTTCCATTTGTAACAGTACAATATAAATCAATTTTATAATCTTGTTTGTACTGCCAAAATAGATGTGAAGATTTACTAAATTAATAATATTCACCATTTAAATGTTCCCCACGATATGGAAGATCAATACAATGCAGCCCTTGGATAGATTTTAATCAACATTTTGAAGAATGCTGAACACTTCTAGAAGGGATTTCAGAGCACCTCAGAGTTTAACAGTTTTATTGATTACATCTATACAGGTATTATTTCAGTCCATGGTATACAAGCCTATCAGTACATGTAACATCTGTATTCATATGGGGATTTTGCTGTGCATATCAGAGTGACAGGGCATGATAGAATGATGACATATTAATGGGTGTGGATATTTCTGGGAATTTAACTTAGGCATGGGTTGGTCACCTACATTTCTATGTGTGCTTGATGACACCAGCACATTAAAAAAGTGCTTCACCTTCACAGGTGCTGTAAAGTTTGTTTCTTCACATTCTACTGTAAGAAGATGAACTAAAAGGACAGAAAAGTGATAATTGTGTTAAACTACTCAACCTCTTCAAACTATCTAAACCTTGCAGAAACAAATCAGCTCTTCTAATTTTGGCACTACTACACAGTATGTCTATTAGGTAGACATATTGTGGATATTTTAGACAAAATAGTGCTGAGAAAACCTTTATTTTGAAACCGTGCTGAAAGTAAAGGCAATAGTTAAGCGTTCTCAAGGTTACTGACACTTGTCTTCTTTGTTAAAGGAAGGGAACACAGATGCTGATTACCAGCTAAAGAATGCACTACTCAGGCACAAGAAAGAAAATATTTAGGAATATGCTGGCTTCAAAAGCCATATCTTACCTGTTATCTGACAACTCAAAGCACCCAGAAAGCCTGATTAACAGGATGAGCTGGTATTCCCCAAACCGCTACAGAATGCGGGGAATGGCGGTGATCCCAGTTATGGATGTTCTCCATCAAAAGAAAAGAAAAGCTCCTGAAGCTGTCCTGCACCTTCCCGAACCAAACCTCCCAGGATTAGCACAATGGAAATACAAAATCAGCATTATACTCCTTTTGTTTTCTTCAACCGTGCTGGGCTCTTGCTCTGAGATGTCTGTACTTGTTAAAAAATGAATATGTTTTACCAAAAGTGGCCCTTAGAGGAATATTTTCATTCATCCAATTCACTGCACAATCTGTAGCTGAAATCTAGAACCCATTTTTGTATGATATATCAATTTTTTGCAGTTCAATTATGATAAATGGAAAAATAAATATATACAGATACAGAAGAGTTATGCCAATACTGAAAGAAATGGAACAGACTCCTGAGAACCATTTTTTCCCCTAAAGTTGAGTTCTACAAGGATGCAACACTTCCAGTTTTCCCCTTTGTAGCCAGAGATGGAAACATAGAGGGAAACCAAGAGCACTGTAAGACTTTAGCATCAAGGCATATCAACTGCTGTCATTTCCCAAGTCGTGCTGTTGGGAAAAAACAACAACAACAACAAAAATCCCATGGGTTTCAATAGCTCCTGCCAGCCCCTCTGGATCTCAGAAACATCATGGCTCAGTATCATCTGTAAATAAACCAAAATAGGCTGTAACTAAATCCAACTTATTCAGCAACCATTCAATGTATTATTCTA